CCCCAAAACCCCAAAACCCCAAAACCCCATGTTTGAGGTTAGTGGTTGAATAAGGATCGGGTTGGATTTAAATTTTTTAATTTCTTATTATGTCTTTGAAGTGTTGTGGTTCTGATGATAGCTAAGGATAGAGATCTTTCTTAATTTTTGCTGATTGATTTTGTACTTGGAGTCTTTATGTAGTTTTAGAGATTTGCCTAGTTTGATTCCACCAACAGTTCTCTCCATCATTTTCCGTAATTCAAGATCGGGCTCATTTCTTATATTCTTGAGTAACTTCGAGAGCTGCCTGTTATTCTTAGAACAATATCTTTTCTTGGATTTTTTAGCTGCAGCCTTCGAGCGGGTTTTAAAGGTTGATGATAAATCAACGACTGCTTTACCGCTTGCTATATGAAATAATCAGGACATGTCACATGGGTTCCATAATCTCAGACAAATCTTGCTTTCTTGCTTTATAAGTCATTATCCAATTTTATTTGTTGTGTACACCAAGAATTTTTACACATATAACGCTGAAATTGTGAAAAGAGTTTACGCCTACAAGATATATGGATTATTTTGTTATTTAGAGAATTCGTTCAATAAATTTTAGTATGATGATTTGTTTATCCCGCAAAATAGCTCTAATATTTATGGCTAGCCTCGATGATGTCAAACTCAATTCTGTAACTATCATATAAGCGATACTTCATTCCTGATGATAGAGTTACAAAATAATTAAAGTTTTGGATTTTCGGCTTATTTTGAGTGAAGAGTTGAATATTCTCTTTCTTCAAATATTTTAAAAACAGAAGAGCTTACCAAGGTTTGAGCGAGTCATATTCTGGGATTTGGCTCTAATAATTCCGATGTTTTTATTTTGCCCTTTTGGATCAATGAACTTGGAAGGTTTCCGCTCTTTTCTCAAACAATTGCTAAACTTGTCTATCTCAACTCACTTATTCTGCTGAAATTCCTGACTGCAGTTTTTCCATGAACAGATGGAAGTGTCTTTGTTTATAAACTAAGCATCAGACAGGGCCTACCAGACTTGAGTTTGGGACATTCCGAAATCCCTTCAGAATCTTACCCTGGCTCTGGAGGTATTCATTCTGGTTTCTAATATGTTGAAGGTTTGCAACCCCACCAACTATTTCTTGGGAAACGTTATAGGAATTCTTTGGTATCCTTTTCAAATCAATTAGTCCTCCTGAAAGCCTGAAAGCACTCTTAGATTTTTGCCTTGAGGAGCTACCTATGTTGTGTTAGGGCTAGATTGTGCAACATTAGGGTGATTTACAGTGGTAGTTGAACTTGTGGATATTTCGATTGTGAGCTATTATTTCTGCCTTAATTCTTGATTGAATCTTTGTATGCTAAATAGATTTCATTTATACACTTCGAATTAAGTCATTCAAGCTATAGCCAAACTTACCTGAAGACAGCTTCTTGAGGTCTTGTTATGAGTTTTGATACCAATAAGTCTCTTGAACTCTTTGACTTCATTCTTATCGAAGTTTTTAGAAAGCTCATCAATCTTTTCTCTCATTTGGGTAATATTTCTGACAGAAATAAAATGGTCTATACCTTTCTCTGTTGCTGTTGGCTTAATAGAGCCTCTACGGCTAGCACTCTTTCTACCCTTGCTAGATGTCTTGTCATCTTTATCTTGAGCAGTTTGAATATCAGAAGAATCCATTAAGGAAAGAAGCCGTTTCCTTTTTGTTGGAGATTTTTCAACTTGTTTATTTACAATTCTTAAGTCTCTTTTGGTAATCAAGGAATCTTTTCATGATAAGCCCTTTGTCATTCTCAGAGTTAAACAATGAATTATAGATCACCTTCCACTTGTCTCTATGTCTTTCAGGAGAGAAATCAAGGATCTCCCTATTGTTGCTATTCGGAGGCATATTATTAAGATCAAGATTGAAGGTTTCCTTCATGAGTTTTTGTTGATCTGTGAGCTCTTCTGCAGGCTCTTCGTCGATTTCATCGATGCTTATGCGCACTCGATCGATCTTCTTCCGAGAGTACTTCCTTATCTTCTTGGTTCGGATTGTCTTTCTGGTACCTCTGAACTTCGGAACGGAGGAGAGTCTATTTCTTCATTGGTTGGACTGACAATATCGCTAGAAATTATGAAATAAAATCCTACATTCAATTGTCTGGGTAGACTCTAGTCGTAAGAGATTGAGATCTTCCGTCGGATCGTTTGTGATTTCATCATCCTGGTCGTTCATTCTTAACATGTTTGCTATTTTTGGAATTCTGTCCATTATTCTTTATGTTCACTAATTTCTAAAATTTTAAATTCTAAGTTGACTGTAAGGGGTTTTGGGGTTTTGGGGTTTTGGGGTTTTGGGG